GGCTAATCTTGCAAATACCAGTATGATCAGGATCATTGTCGTCTTTTAACAACAAAATGAATGGTATTGATATTGAGAAGGCTGTCATCCATACAATGATTATCATGATGCACATTCGTCTAGTTGTTCGTTTTCTCATGTAATCTATATTAGTCACAGCCCAATATCTGTCGATAGAAATGGCCACAAGACCATAAATAGAGGCTGTACAACACAATACGTCCATGGCTATCCACATATCACAAACCTCCGCACCCATTAACCAGTGCTGTGTCACCTGCAATAAAGATAACATTCGTATAGTATATAGAAAGGGTAAAGTTTAAACATTATATCTTAACTATATTGGCCAAGATATAACTTGATGGAGACTAGCAATAAAAAGATTTTTGAGTAATAGAACACAAAGCATTTTTGAGGCATTATGGGCCTTTAATCACTTTAGATCCTGATTCATATGAGGAAACATAGTTGTAATGTTCAGTTTAAACTCCTAAATGAGTTTATGTAAAATAGAAGTGCAGTACGGAAATTTATACAGATAAATATATGTAAACACTTGAAAAAGTAATAATAGTTAGTTAATGGTTTCAAATATGTTTTAAATACTTGATAATACGAACAACATGTTTTGGCTTTAAACATAAATTCAGCACAGTTACTAATTAACAAGTATATTTCCGCTTACTTATACCTTAAAGGGTATAATTTCGAAATTCTCAAGGTCTAAGTTACGATTATTATGTCAGTGATGATTACGAAACTTAATGAAGATTATTAAAAGGATGAATTGTAATGGAGGAAAAATTATTATTGTATGTAGAAACGGGGACGGTAATGTTGTACAGTAAATGAAACTGGTGCAAGACACCTTAATCTTATACACGTTAATCTTGTACAGTAAACCCGTGTGAGACGCGTTTATCTTGTACAGTAAACCCGTGTGAGTCACGTTAATCTTGTACAGTAAACCCGTGTGAAACACGTTTATCTTGTACAGTACACCTGTATAAGACGCGTTAAACTTGTACAGTAAACCCGTTTGAGATGCGTTAATCTTGTACAATAAACCGTGTGGGTCACGTTAATCTTGTACAGTAAATCCGTGTGAGTTACGTTATTCTTGTACAGTTAACCCGCGTGTCACACGTTATTATGTACAGTAAACTAACTTGAACGCGTTATAATCTTGTAAAGTTAACCCGTATATGACACGTTAATCTAGTACAGTAAAACCGGGTGAGACGCGTAAATCGTGTACACCAAACCCGTGTGAGACGTGTTAATCTTGTACAGTAAACCCGTGTGAAACGCGTTAATCTTGTACAGCAAACCCGTGTGAGACATTTATTTTAACATTTATCTTTTAAAAAAGAGCCAAGTTAATAAGATTATTGTTACACAAAATAGAAGAAATTTGTTTGTTTGTTTGTTTCATTTTACGCCTGTTCCCAACAGTATTTCAGTCCTATAGGCGGGTAGTTTCCTAACCATCGTTCCTGGAGAGTAAAACCAGTACTAGACTACTTTACTCCGTGCTAAACTACCAAAGCATCTCCCGGGGATCAAATAGAAGAAAATTTTCAGATTTATAAACATATTTATATACAACTAGCATTTGCAAAGATTTGAAAAGAACTTTAATTTAATAAAATAATTTCGAAATAAAATTGAAAGGACCGGAATTTATTACGACTGATTTATGTTGAGTAAATAACACAAATATAAATGTATGTAAACAAATTCTTATTATTATATTAATTTAAGGTCAAATATACCCCAGATTTGCTTTTTTATTATTTTTTTTTAACATTTCATCTTTGGTGCCTTGTTATAGATTCCAAATACGTTTCTAAATGGCTTATTACCTGAACCAGTTTGCTTCTGATGTTTTAGCAATAAGTAAAGATATAGTTAAACCGTATTTCTATGGAAGTCAAAATATGACTGTGTTACAAGTAATTTCACATTCAATGTTATATTTTTCCAGGTAATAATATTTTAATATGCTCTAACACCATAATTTAAACGTTATAAAACTCATGTAACAGTTTGCCAAATGTAAAGAATACATGTACATTGTATTCACGTATTTGATACATAACGTGCCCTTAAGATAACTTACCGATTTTATCTTATTCTAACTTCAAAACCTACTGTTATTTCTAAAGTTGCAATGACAATTGATATTTAAAGCGTTTAAAAATGTACATTCAACCCTGTCGTGTCAGATACTTCTAAATACAATTTGCATTTAATATCCTGTCAATTTGGACTATAGTATTTTTAAATTGGCACATCTTGTAGTTTAAAAAAGACTGTCGAAATGTTCTTTGAAATATGTGACAGAATAAAATGATATAGCATCAAATAATTCCAACTCCTTTGTTTTACCATATTCCTCGGGACAAGTATATATTGACAATTGTTACATTGAACAAATAAATTAATGAATTGTTTTAAATGTAACAAACCTCATTTACTGCACTGATGGGCATCACAATAATGGCGACCATACAGTCTGAGACAGCCAGTGATATGATGAGATAGTTAGCTATATTATGAAGATTCTTGTCTACAATAATAGCTGCAATAACAAACACGTTGCCGATTATTGTGCACAAAATCAGAATTCCTAAGATAACTGACGTCATTATAAGATGCTTCATATTCCAAATCTTAGGCACGTGAAAATCGTGTGTGACGTTTGACGTGTCAATAATTGTAGTACTACTAACGTTTTGTGTAGTTACTGAAGAGTCAAATAAATCCATTTTGTTTTCTAACAGGTCAATGACCTTTTGACTGTTGAGATTAACGCTTGTTTGCCAATGGCTGATTCGCTTGTACACGTTACGTTGAATTCGACCAGTCCTTTTTGAAATTTTAAAATAAGTGAGCACATATCAACAATTTGTCACTCAAAAACATTCTCAATGTCTGGTTACATGAATCGTCTTGTCCAATCTTGCATGATGCTGTGTTATGCAGTTTGGTTCACATCTCTTTAGCTGGTCACAAGTGTTAATATTTATAGATAAACAATTAATTTTTCATTATCAAACATGATAAATGATACAAGGTAACGAGAGATGTTAATTTTGTCCCCATGCATTAATTCCGTATATCTTACATGTAAAACAATATGGTGACAAACAGAACATCATTTATTTTCCCGACACATTACACACTTATATATTTGCTTGAACGCCTCGTATTTCCGACTTCAATTAATCCAATATTACACATAATTTCCAAAGTTTGATAAACCGATATAATTAAAAGGTCATATCTCACAAAATTGTATGCGTCTTTAATTTAATGGTGCAGAAACCAGAGCTAACTGCCGTCTGATGGGACCTGGACTAGAACCCAGGACCTTGGAATACCGTTCAACGGTTCTAATATTAAAAAAGATTATTAATTATGTTAGCTCATTCCTTATATATATCAAACATTACACATCTTTTCGTTAAACAGTATACGTAATTTGCAACAATAATACAGTATTTGCATCCTTTATTGACTTTTTGATTTTATCGGCATTGATATGTTGTTATACAAATTGATACTACATTGTAAAATGACGGGGAAATGATCACAACTATAAAGAGAATTTATCGGAGATCTGTTGCTTGTGTGTATCTAAACAGTTAGCTGACAAAATGATTCACGACAACTACTGAAGTAAAGCAGGGAGATTTGGCTTCACCGACCCTATATTGAAATTTCCAAATGATCAATGATCCTGACCTTGTATTAACCGTAGATGGACCAAAGCTTCCACTGCTGCTGTACGCAGATAGTATCGTCAGTACCGTAAATCTAAAAGGGACCTTCAACGTATTCTAATCAACGTGCGTGATTGGTGTAGACGTTTGATAGTATTCATTTATATTATATTGAGATTTCCGGAAAGGACGGAAATCTTAAAGTTACTTGTCGTTATGATTCGTGTGCAATCGTATGCACGTTTACCATTTTCAACCGTCATATTAGAATTGATAAAACTCAAATCGTATAAATCATGAAAATTTGTTGGATATACGCTTATCATAAGACGACAGCTTGCAATCTCTTACGCCAACCGGTTGGTAAACGTACTGAAATAGACAAATACAGAATCCCTAAAGAAGGCTCAACACATCAAAATTAAAAATGTTGCAGGCTCGGTTTGATTGAGCCTGTTCATGGACGGTAATGGAAAGTGTAAGTTACCGTCCACGCCCCCTAGCACCGGCTTAAGCAGAATTCAACATTTAAACACGATAATGGTGAAATTTTGAGTTTAGAAACATCCGCAGATCTGTTCATGCGGCGATTATCATGGAACCATTTAATGTGACACTTTCATGCCATTCCATGAAAAGCGGCGTATGGTCCCCAATTAAAGAAAAAATGCATGTGCCCTAAACGAGAAAACAATGGGCGGAACTAAATAAAATGGAATTTTGAAAGGGGATCAGAGGTTATGAAGCATGCATATCACAGGAATGACGTAATAGTAAATGTAATAATAAGTCTAGCGTCACGTCTCTAAAACAAATGAACAGTGTGATAAACAAGCTTATAGTATATTTTACAATAATTATGGCATAAAGTCTCTAAAATAAATGAATACTTATAGTATATGCAGTTGATAGCGAAAATAAAAAGATAGATTAAAAAGACCAGTAAGCAATATAAAACCAACTTTTTGTTTGTATTTCCAATATTCGTGAAATACATGCAGACGCAAGCACGCTAACGCACGCACGCAGGCACACAGGAATCAGATTAACTTGCTTTTAGGCTTTGAACTCTAGTTAAAGGCTCATGTACAAATATATATATATATATATATATATATATATATATATATATATATATATATATATATATATATATATATATATATATATATACAGTCACATTCCTCCATTTACGGGGCATCGGTCTCTATTTGAGACCATACTTGTGGGGTTTATATTTAATGTGGGGCATACATAAGGCCTCGCAACTCTGGCATGTTTAAAACGATGTATGGGGGCGTAGGCTACCCTTCTAACATAGTGCCCGTAGGCCGGTTTTAGTAGTAAATGATATATGTCCCACAAATGTATATATTTTTAATGGGGTTTTATGTTATTGGTCAAAACTGTCGTACCTGTACCTTCAAGTCTTTGATCACCTGCAATCACTTTGTGGAAATTATCATGAGCATAAATCATGTAAATCTATATTTCATTTTCAAAAAATAGCAAAAACACTCAAAACAGATATTATGCTATTTTCGTATATAAAACAGATATTGTATGATCATGATATGATTAATATGCAACAATTTGTTTAATCTTTGATCCTATTAAATAAGTGTGCAGTGCACAAGAACCGCAATTCTGCATTGTCTATTTTTTTAATTATTGCCCTTTGTTTATTGTTACACTTTGAAGTCTATCCTGGACAATCCTCTAAAACTATCAGATGTATCAACATGAACCTTTGTAGGTAGATAGATTCTATTGAGAAGGTTTGCAATGCACAAGAACTGTAACTCTGCCCTGCCTAAAACATGAATAATTGCCCTTTGTTTATTTTAACACTTTGAACTTTGACCGGGACATAACTCTAAAACTAAAAGAGTTATCAACATGAAACTTTGCAGATAGATAGATCACATTTATTAGGTTTGCATTGCACCAAAACAGTTTAATCTGCCGTGCCTAATTTTTGAATTATTGGCCTTTGTTTATTTTTACACTTCGAATTTTGTCTGGGATATAACTCTTAGGAGATATCAACTTTGCAGGTAGATAAATCTCAAAGAGTAGTAGTTAAAGAACCATAACTCTGCCTTGCCTTATTTTGCAGTTATTGCCCTTTGTTTATTTTTACTTTTTGACTATTGTCCGGGACATAACTCTAAATCAGCAGGAAACTTTGTAGGTAGAATGATCTCATTGAATAAAACTGCAATGCTAAAGAACCTTAATACAGCATTGTCTAATTTTAGAGTTATTTCCCCTGTTCATTATTTACACTATGAATTTTACCCGGGAAATAAATCAAAAACTATTAGAGATATCATCACGAAACTTAATAGATAGATAGAACTCATTGAATAGAAGTGCAGTGCAAAAAAAAACACAACAAAAAACATACAAAAACCCATAACTCTGCCTTGCCTTTTTTTGGAGTTTTTGCCCTTTGTTCCTTTTTTTATACTTTTCTGTGTCCAAAACCTTCTCGGTTCAACCGGTTTTTGTAACAGTTTGACTATACATGTTGAGAAATGCAAATGTTACATCACCACAAAGAAATCTTTTCGTCTTTTCGTCCAAATTTTGAAGAAAATACTTTATTAAAACATTTGATTTATCCTTGTGATATTAGCCATGATACCATCAGAAAAGTGTTATATCCATATTTTCTTTATTTACAGTTTACTTCCAGAAAATCTACAAGATCAAAATAACACAACTTCACATCTTGACATAATAATCTTGTCCTACTTCCTCAAATGCTTGACTACTATACTGCGCATCGGTGGAATGTTTCACTAACGCTCATGTCTGAAGTTTGAAAGAGTGTTACTCTGATAAGTGCCAATAAACACTCTGATTGGTATCAATATAAACGTGAACTGAGATGCGTCATCCCTTCAGCAGAAATAGCAAAAAAAATTCTGGAAATTAGTTATTTTACTTTTTATACGGTATTAGCAATGATTGTGTTGGTGTCATTGAATTGTAAGTTTTATTCAAATTGTTAATTGTAAATGATATACAGCGATAAAATGGTGTATACAACTTTATTACATGCTTTTCGGTGGTTTATAGAAATATATCAGTGAAATAAAAACTGATTATTTCACTGTTTTATAAAAACACTCCCATTGGTACCAATATAAACGTGAACGTTTATTGCATAGAATAAAAAGAAAATTTGTTTAGTTTAATGTAAGATCGAAATATATTTCACCTTGTGAACGCCAAAAGTTCATATTTCACTCGTGCCTCGCCACTCATGAAATATACCTTTAGGTTCTCACTCGGTGAAATATATTCCGATCTTACCTTGAACTAAACAAATATCAAAACTTTTTTTTATGACGCAAAAAAATCAATAAACGCCGTTGTGAGCAGCAGAATAATTCGTGTTTTTTTCTTTGCTTAGGAATAAAAAGGAAAACAGTAGTCTTTCATTTACAAATTTAGTAATTGAAAGATCAGGAAACTGTGAATCTTGTTAACTGGCCTCTGTTATCTCGATAACATTGATTCCATTTTATACTATCATTGTCAAACTAGCATTTAGCTATATATTTGTAGTTTCCTAAAGTTATCCGTCTAAAGTTACCACAGTTGATGTCGATTAAAGAAACAATTGCCCAGAAGTTAAATAATTGAACGGCTAGAGCATTAATTAATATCATGCGTATACTTCATTCCAATCTTACATTTACTCTCAAGTCAGAGGAAGTTACGATTGTCATTAGTTTGTTTTGAAAATATTACACATTTTATTTATAGTATTTATATAATTTCCAATAATTGTTCCTCTTATAGGAATACTCGTCACTGGTGCTCGTAAAATACGTGTAGAACAGTATTTGCATGTTTGACACAATTTGTTGCCTATGTATGTAAAAGATTTTCTTAAATTTACAAATATTACTATGGGAAATAATGTTCATGTTACAAACAATTGTTTAAAAAACTGTATTAAAATGTTTGTATAAATTATTCATACTTCTCTATCTACAGTATCCTAAATTACGCAACCAAGGGAAAAAACATCAAATGCTTTTACCATTAATTTGTTTCATTTTAATTTGTATTGATTTATATCTTATTCAGGCACAAAAAAGGCCAATCCATTGCTTATTTTACATCAACTTTGTAAGGTTATATTTTAATGTAATATTTATTATTTAACTTATTAACTGAAAAATGAAATATGATTAATGAGAAATTATTGAAGTAGGTACTGTATTTATATAATTATGTTATATTTTCGATCCTTGAAGATCGTTCAGCACAACATTATTGTTGTATAAACATGTTATGTGGTACTTTTAGTTTCTACTTTTTTGGCCATTTTCAAATTGGGTGGTTCCAGTATTCCTACTTGAATACTGTATAATCACCCTAAGGATATGTTGCCTGCTTTTTAAATTTGTCTTTTGACGTCTTATCTGTGATATGCAGGCTTCATAACCTTAGATCCTCTTTAAATATTCAATTTTATTTAGTTCCGCCCATTCTTTTCTTGTTTAGGGCAAAAACATTCTTTTACCTGGGGACCATACGCAGCTTTTCATGGAATGGCACTACTGTGTCACATTGAAGGTTCCATGAAAACCGCCGTATGAACACATCTGCAGACGTCTCTAAATTCAAAATTTCACCATTTTCGTGTTAAATGTTGAATTCTGCTTAAGCCGGTGCTAAGGAGCGTGGACGGTAACTTGACTTTCCATTAC